TTTTTTTTTTTTTTTTTTTTTTATCGTTATAGATCTTGTCTTTTCATTATAGACTTAATTAATTACTATAGTGTTATCAACATTATTAACAGCAACATTGGATACCAGAAAATATTTTTGAAAATTGAGGAGACAGGAAGTACTCGTAATTGGCTCATTTGTGACTTAGTACTTGTGGAGCCATCTATATGTAAAAAACAATTACTAAATCAAACACAGTGGGCATGGCATGTATGCACATGCCATCCCCAGCGCATAGGGTTAATTTTCCATGTTACTGCATAGTCTGCCAAATGATGAACATTACTCTTTGAAACATCATGTAACAAGCAGACAACACTGTCAAAAGATAATAATTCTTTCTTGGCATATTCTCAGCTTCCAGTATTTAAAATGACATTTACACACATACACTTCACAACATTATATGTGCAAATTAGTATGAGTAAATTTCAAGTTCATACTGTTGATGTAACACCCACAACAAGATTTCACTCATCATGTCTTACTTTACCTTCCTCAGATATTAAGATTTATGGACATTCTATTGCTTCTTTTTACTTTCTTCAAGAAATATGTTACTTATTTTCCTGCATGTGACATGTTCAGTAGATATAGTAGCTCAGGGTTGGTGGCAAAGTGATGGTGGTGGCAGAGGCAGAACACTACATCGTCATATGGTGGAGTGACAGATTTTTGTAATTTTCTGTTTATATAGCGAATGACAGGCTCTTCTTTTGTTTTGAGGGAATAGCTATATCTTAGAGGAACATATCTACACCTGGGTACCTTGTAGAACATTCATTCATGCTTGTAAGAGAAAAAAACAAATGTTTATATTCACATACAGGGTTGGCTAGCTGGGCTACTCTTGTCATGACCCTCTTAATGCTATTTAAATATGAATCTGCTGATAGATTTCACAAGTGCCTTCTTTTATTCATCAGTCATGTTTTAAAAATGCTAACAAGTGGAAGAAATTGCATTTGAAAGCTGTGAAATGTCATGATAATGTGGTTTAGGAAGGGTGGTGTATCATATGACCAGGGGCAGGTCCAGAAAACTTTCTGGTGGGAGGCACAGGGGGTAACAACACTAAATCTGGGGGGACGCCACATTACATATACAGAGGGGCCATTACGAGGAGTCAATAACCATTGAGTGGGCACACTGGCTGGCCAATCAGATTTCAGGGGGGCAGGCGCCCCCCTGTGCCACCATGGAATCCCGCCTCTGCATATGACATTTTAATGCCTGGGAGCATGCATATAAACCATACTATTTAGATGACATTAGAATACAGATACTGCCCTTAAACTTTTGGGGTATTTTGCTCACACACCCTTTATTTTGCGAATGGTCTAACTTAAATGCAAATTTTGATCAATTTTCCACCTAGAAAATTGACCCTTGACCCCTCCCCACCCTATGTTTTTACTTGTTACAGTATTACGATAATAGTTATTTATTATTTGATAGGCAAAGCAAATGAAATTCTTGTATTTGCTCAAAAGTTCAGTGATTCATGATTGAGTTAAGCATACTGCATATCTAAGATATTATTTATAACATAAGCCACTCATGTCAGATGATCTCTTATCTGATCATGGCAAAAACTACAGTCGGTTGGGTTACCTGAACCAAAGGTATTTTGATTTTGGCCCAAGGCTCTTTTTCTCCACTTTGCAATTCTATTAACTCTTTCTGCTGATATGTGTGTGCTGTCATGCTATTTTCCAAGATGTGTGTTAGTTATTGGTTCTTCCCTCCAGGTAGTGTAAACTCTGCAGTAATAGTAATAACAAGTATCACAGTCATTTGCGTTATTTTTCATACTTTCAAATTATGGGAATTTTCGTAATGCAGCACACACTGCTGCTATTGACGCACAATAATAGGTTCCTGCGTGTGGATATTGTGTCCTCCCTGAAGCTGGTGCTCTACCAAGTATGGCTCATCGATGTACACTTCACCTCTTGTTTACCAGTGAAAATAATGGAAGAGCCCTTAGGGGCAGTCCCCCTCCAAAATCTTTGTGCACTCATGGTAAGGCTTCCCCATCACCCACCATTTGGCAGTGATACCCTATGGCAAGATTCTCCCATCACTCCAACCCACAGAAAAAAAATTTTATGATGGGAAATTCCTGTCAGGCATCCCTCTCCCAATTTTTTTTCAAGACTAGTCATCCCAGTAACCCAAATCCAATGTGTTGAATGCAGATTATAAGCAAAATACCTCCTACTTTACTAAGATTAAGTATTCGTTATGCAAATTATTCGGGGGAAAGTTGAAACATAAGAGATCGATGACGATTGACCTGAAAAAATGAAATGAAAATTAGAGAAATGCCAAAACTTTTTTTTATAGAATTTTTCTACCATATTGCTCAAACCTCTCATTGCTGCTGCCATCATCATTGTCATTATCATCACTTTTTATCTCAATTTTCCCTTACTCTCTCCGGTAGTACCCCATTTACTAGCTTCTCTTTCCCCTCATACTACAGTTTTTCAGTTCACAGACAGCATTGTGAATCAGCTGGAATCCATCCATTCATATTATATTACACTGCTAAAAGAACTGTCATGCTTGCCAGGCTGCCAAGGGGTTAGACTCTGCTACTCTGCTATTCAGTCTTTTTATATATTTTCTCAAAGGAATTATGCTTATTGTTCTCAAACCTGCAGTATGATTTTATCTAGGAAAGAATTGCAAAACCTAATTTTCAGACTGAAAACATTTTTGGAGCAGTCTGTTCATTTGTTGGCTAAAGGGTTAAATGATGATTATAAGATACTATTACTTGTGATACTGTTATAACTATTTTGAACATATAACACTAGTGATAACAGAATATTCAAGGAATGGGGTAATTGATATCAGGTAGGCTTGTATTTGGCTCATTCATGTCTTAAGTGCTTGTGGAGCTATGTGTGTGTAAAAAATATAAAGCAAGACCATAGGGAACAGGAAATGCTCCTTCCCGTTGATGCTGTTGAGATAAATGTGAGAAAACTAGGTTGCATCTCTGGATATGTTCTTCCATGCTCCTTTTTTCTCTCCAGTATATCAGCTTTCTCATTCTCTTCCTCATCCTGCCAGTCATCCTTTCCACCATCAATCTTCAGTTACCACTGTTCTGTTCGCCTTTCCCATGTCTCTTCCATGTTTTTCTCTTTCTCTTAGCATTCCCATCTTCTCTTGTCACAAATGCTGCTCAATCTCCCCTAAGCTTCTTCAGGCTTCATGTTCTCGCTATCTCTTCCCTTTTTGCCCGGCCCACCCGCCCATTCTTTCGTTTACTTTTCGCTCCTCCTTCCTTATTCTGTCTTTTCCCTTTTGCCCTTGCCCTCCTGCCCATTCTTCTGTTTACTTTTTGCTCCTTCTTCCTTTTTGTCTTTTCCCTACACATTATCATGTTGTCCAGAGAATAGGCAGAGTAGACAAGATTGAAAAAAAAAGAGTAATAGTCAAGAGGTGAGAGAGAGAGAGAGAGAGAGGGAGATGGAGAAGAAATAGGAGAAGAGAGAGGACTAGAACAAGAAGGAATATGTATGTACACATTAACATACAACTTACAAGTTGAAATCTGGCACACTTTCATTGCGTGATGATCATATCAACTGGATCGTAGGGGTTAAAAGTTGATCAAATTAATGTTTCTAATGTGGGACACCACAGCTGTACATATCTGCTGCACACAAAGAATGCCTGTCAGTAGAATTTTTTAGTCTTGATAGCAACAACTAGCAAGTATGCAAGAAAATTTTAAGAATATGGAAAAATATGTGATCTATATTATCTGTGATAGTTAACTTTACAAGGAAGTCTGACTAAGCAAAGAAATAGCAGGTATTCATCCTTGATACTATTTTAAAAATCGACATTTCTCTTATCAACCTTATTTTTGTTTTGTGATATATTATGCCTATAAATAATGGCAGATGTATTATAACTATTAGTTTCACTGTCATTTATTAATACCACTAATGCTGGTACTGATTACAATTTTACTAGTGTGACTCTATTACTGTAATTCTGTTGAGAGAGTGAAAGTGAGTGAGTGTGGATGTGTAAAAGTTGTAAATTTTCTTCAAATTTGCATTGATCTAATGGATACAAGACTCCATACTCTAAAAAGTCATTATTGTAAAGATGGTCTAATGCAATGTCAAGTTTTATTAACAAAAAATAATGGGGAAAGTAAGATTTTTTCTGGATCTATTTTTTTTTCTTTTCTCTTTATTCTTACTGATCTCTAGTCATGACAAAAAAGTGATAACAGATGAACTTCAGTGTAAGCATTTGTTCCCATAGTTACTTCCAAACCTTCTCGTGAAAATTACTCCTGTTTTTAAGTTCTTTTATGATACTGTGATTTATAACATAGTGCCGTTGTCATCATCAGACCCACACTTTGTTCCCAAACTTTGAAACTTGATTGTATTGCTATAGCTGACTGGCAGACAAAATCACTGGGATATATATACCTTTTTTTCTCTTTTGCTCTTTCTCTTTTTTACTCAAACAATGATTACTTACTCTAAAAATAAGATTTCTGGAAGTGTTGTTAAAAAAATCACACCCAGGAGTCTAGTCTTTAGAAGTAACTATGATCTGTTTGGTTGAAAAATTGGGGACAAACATGTACTGTCAGTCAGTTGTAATTAAAAATAGATTACTCAGATTTTGCCAAGGTGAGTGTTGCATTCAGAAAACAGAAACAGTTGCCAAAGTAGTATTTCAGTGATCTGATTCATGAAGTTTGTCTGTCTTCAAGTGACCTGCGACCTGTTACAGATTCTTTATTAAACAGATCACTGAAAGTCTACACTGATGAGGTAGCATACATGGCTTGTGGTAAAAAGTCATATTAGGTTCACTGTACAGGGAATTCAGACAGAGGTAAATGTTTTTTGTGGTGGTGATGCCAGTCACACTGCAAGAAAATAAAAATCTCCTCACCTGAAGTCTGAAGCCCAGTGCACCTGATGGTCTTTTGCAACAGCTTGCAAATAAGTAATAATGGAACAGTTTCTGTACCTGCAATGGAAGCAGCATCTTGTGCAAGTAGTGGCTCAGTAGTAACTGTTTCCCTTGTGTTTTAGGGTCTGGTGATGACAGAGGGGCCTATGGTGCGTGACGAGCAAGGGAGGGTGTGCTACCGCTGCCTCTACTGCCCACGCATTGACTCCGACAAGAGCAAGTGGCGGCGACACCTCCGGACGCACACAGGGGAAAAGCCTTATCAGTGTGCAAAGTGCCCATACCGTGCTACTACGAAACATGCTGTTGTTCGACATGACAAGTTCAGACATTCTGTAGAGGGAGCTGCACTCTAAGGGCAGTTATGATATGGAGTGGGAACTTTGTGTTATGTGAGAAACATTTTTTCTCATATTCCATTATTATTTCCTTTTTTTATTTTCCTCTTTTCATAATTGCAGTTAAGTGATTTTTAACCTTTTACTCATGAATGTAAATAGTATTCATGTCACATCTCATTGGGTTCCATTCTTTTAGAGGATGAGTATTTCTGGCTGTTTTGTGACGGTTAAGTGTTCATTTATTTACTAAGGATTTTGTGTTCTGTATGATTTTTCTATAGTGAATTTGCCTTAATTTATATCGGGAATCCCTGATTTTAGGACTGTTCGCATATGTAAACTTTAGTCAAGGACAAGGTTTTGAATTTAAGTGCATCATTCCTTATACATACATACAACCCCCCTTCTCCTTTCAGACACATGTACACACACACACACATACACATAAACAACATATTCATAATACATCTACCCCCCCCCCTCCCACACACACACACATGCAAGCACACACACATAGGACACATACATGCAAGCACACACACATAAGACACATACATGCAAGCACACACACGCATGCATATATACACATGCACATATACACATGCATGTATATACATGCACACATATACATGCACACATATACATGCACACATACACATGCACACATACACATGCACACATACACATGCACACATACACATGCACACACACACACATGCACACACACACACATGCACACACACATGCACACACACACACATGCACACACACACACACATGCACACACACACACACACACACAATGCACACACATACACATGCACACACACACATGCACACACACACATGCACACACACGCATGCACACACATACATGCACACACACGCACATGCACACACACGCACATGCACACACACACATGCACACACACACACACACATGCACACACACACACACATGCACACACACACACACACACATACACATACACACATACATATGCGCAAGCGCATGCACACTCTATCACTCACTCTTTGCTTGCGTGCGTGCGTGTGTGTGCGCGCATGAACATGTGTGTGTGTGCATGCCTGTGTGTGTGTTTTCTTATGTAATTTATGACTTATTTATGTTGTGAATTAAGGCAGAATCCTCAAACACTGTGGGATGGTGTTTTTGTCTTTTAAGATTCTTACATATAGATGTTATAAGGTCAATTAAATTATTTTGGAAATTGCTGAAGGAGTAGTTGATGGCTTGATTTCATGAATTTCTTTATGTCCAGATAGAATTGCTTGTATTTACTTTTTATATTTTGTTTTTAAACTTAGACTGGTTGGCCGTTGCATTTCCTATTTTGTTATTGATCTTATTTTAGATGATGAATGGTGACCTTGGCTAAAAGTGCTGAAAGATTGATAATTTACAATATAAAGGTCATGAAATTGATCCAGTTATTTTGTTATGTAAGGAGAAGGAACAAAGAGTTGGAAGTTTGGAGAAAAAGTTTAATGTTTGAAGAGAAAAGCATGATAATAGTACACACAAATGTTGATGAAGCCATGTAAAAAAGGATGTTGATGTTCCTGTAATGTTGGTAAGAGCCTTTAAATTCAGTTTTAAAAAGGGAATGTATATTCATTTGATATTCATTATCAACCTTTCATATTTATATGGACTTGGAATTTATTGAAAGCCAAATTTTCTGGGTAGCCTCGCAAATAAGGACCAGTCAGGAACCTCAACACTTTTTCGACTTGGCCTGAGATATGAAACTCTATCCAGTAGTCATATTGTACGATTCCAAACGGTGTAAAAATCACAAAGTTTTTTGCACACACTTGATGAGGACATTAGGTAGAATGATTTAAATATATTTCTAAGGGAAAAGTGTATTACTGTTATATGACATATGCACAAATACTTTATTTGTTTATTTAGTTTGATTTATTTGTTTCCTTAAAAATTTTTGGTTTTTGATCAATCAACTAGTCAGTTAAAATTTTGAGTTAAAATGGATAAAGATGGTTAGTTCTTTTTACAGTTAATTAGTATTGTATCATTATGTGTTTGTTTGTTATATTAATAGCATAATGTGTTTATTCCCTTCTCTTTATAATATTTTGTATTTATTTATTTATTTTGCAAGTAGAAAGCAAGCATAAAACAGAGTACAATGGTAGAATTGTTATAAGAAAAAAGCAAAATACACCAGTATTAAAGAATAAAATGTCACCTTGTAGAAGTGTGTTGTTTAACTCCACTTTTTGGCTCTGTATTAACCCAATACTGCCAGGAAAATGTAGTGTTCACTCTAGTATTGTTTTGTGAAATGTCTACACATGGATGGCCCCGTAAGTGCTTAGCTGTCAAGTAGTTGACTTCATCACCTTACCTTATTTCACCTTTCATTGATATTTTATCTGAGGCTGTCAATATTGATGCTCTTGTTATTATCTTGGACATTTTAATTATTATATTGTTGACATTACTAAGAGCAATACAAGATAAAGAATATATTTGAGAATCAAGGAAAAGGGTAAACAGATGAGATATGTAGTACTAGTAATTAGCTCATTGGTGACTAAGTACTTGTGGAACCATCATTGTGTAAAGACAATTAGTAAAATAAACTCACAGGGGCATGGCATGTATTTACATACATGTCATCCCCAGCAGCACGGGGTTAAAGTGTAAGGAAGGCATCTGTGCTACAAACTAAAGGGTTGTTTGTATATTTATTGAAATTATTTGTACATTATACTAAGTGACATGATGATAAATCAATCAGTCCTCTTTGAACTTTTCCTCTATTCATTTCTTATCTTTTGTAAGATTGATTAACCCAGTGCCAATGGGTATAAATGTTTGACAAGTGGACATAATAACGGGATTGTTGGCGTGCATCAGCAGTTTCCCCGTTTGCGCCCAGCTCGATTGGGACTTTGCGAGCGATATTTGGCATCTAAAAGTTTTATTTTGCTATAATTTATAAAAATATAATTTTGAAGGTTTACCCTCATTATAGATGCCATTGCCTAAAATCTTCACTATTGGAGAAAAACAAACTCTGTCCGACGATCCAATGGCGCGGGAATAGGCATGATACGATGCCATCATTTTTTGGTCCACAACAGCCATGGCATGTACGTACATGCCACCCGTCAGCTAGGGGTTAAGATTGTTCTAATTCTTTGGGGTGCTGCTTATATCAGTTTCACTTCTGTAGTAATTTATAAAAACAAGTGAACACTGGGTTTGCAGTGGTTTTCAAAGGGATGCTCAAGATATCCAGTCATGATTTTGTACTTTGACCAACAAATGGAACAAATCTGTTGACATTTTTTATCTGTTTCTTACACTTTTTTAAGGAGTAACCAGCTTGAGAAAGAGGGGGGAAGAATTATTTAGCTTTCTAGAGCTTATTTTTGTAAATCTACTTCAAGAGTGATGCAAGATTTTGCAATTACACACAAACTGGTATGTTTAGATATTGTTCTGATTGTTTTTCACCTTAGCTTACCAAAATGCAACATTTGATTTTCATTTGTTTTTTCATAAATAATTGCTGGTTGACATGTTGGTATTGATAAATATTTGGAATTAAATTTTATTTGGACTTCTTGCATTCAGCAACTCATCACTAAATTTTCAAGTACATCTTGCCTTGATATGACAAATAGATATATTTTCTCCTTTCTATTCTCTTTTACCAATCTTAACATGTATGCTGTCCACAAATCTTATATCTGTCAAGTGTTTCGGGAGCTGCAGTTCTTAAAGCAGTCAGTGCACTGGCATATACACCACATATATGAAATTTCTTAAAAGTTATTAACAATATGTCCAACACAGGGAGTTCTCCACTTTTTTTTTCTTGATTGTTAGATTACTGAATTACCAGAAATACAAATGAAAACGAGATGTTGAGTGAAAGATTAGGATAAAATGTAAGTCTTGAAGAGGTAGATTACACAAAGGGAAATACCTCGTAAGGAACTTGTCAGAGGCAACTGGTTGAGTAAATATATATATATATATTATATATATATATATATATATATATATATATATATGTAAATGTATGTATATATGTAAATGTATGTATATATGTATATATGTATATATGTATATGTATGTATATATGTATATATGTATATGTATGTATATATGTATTTGTATGTATATATGTATATATATGTATATATGTATATGTATATATATATATATGTATATATATATGTATATTTATGTACATATATGTATATATATGTTCATATATGTACATATATGTTTATATATGTATATATATGTATATATATATATGTATATAATATAATATGTATGTAATATATATATGTAATATATATGTATGTAATATATATAAGTATGTAATATATATATGTATGTAATATATATATATATATATATATATATATATATATATATATATATATATATATATATATATATATATATATGAAGGAGTGTTTGAAATGGAAACCGAGTGTCTTTACAAATGAATGATGTAAAGCTTTGTTAATTATTTACCTGGTTTTTATAGTCTCAGTAAAATTTTGAATGGAAAATAGCTTCAGTATGGAGCAAACTTGTATGCAATTTTCCCATTTTCCTTCTCTCAAGTTGAAATCCGTTGTTCATGGGCTATGGTCACTGCCACAGCACTCGAGTGTGCACATGTCTTTGACAGAATTCCCAAATGTCTATTTTACAGTGCTGAAAAGTACAATTGTAAATGGGGGGGATATCAAGCAGCTTCTGAGAATTGAAAGTGATAATCAATATATATATGCATATGTATAATGAGAGAGATTTCTTGTATATATTGGATACTGACACAAATATGATAAGGTTATGTAATATTAGATTTTTCATGGTTTGTACATGGCATCTAAAACTGTAAAATATGGATTTATCATCGTGTTTGTTAAACAAAATAAGGATATTAAAAGTAGTTCTCCGAGTCACTGGTACAGATGATTTGCACACTTATGAA